ACACGAAAACAAAACTGATTCAAGTCCAGAGTTTGCCGTATCTAGTTGGAACTAAAAACTAGAACGTCACCAAGCCACAAAAAGAAACAGTTTGAGCCTAACTTCACATTCCCTCACAATCTGCACGCAGCTAGCGGCTAACAAAAACGTTGTGATTTTTTTTCTCCTTCCAGCGTAACATAAAACATCAAAATGGTTGTTGCTAAAGTGTGGCAAAGAGTGAAAGCCTTCGAGGGCAACCCAAAACAGTCCGACTTCAAGCTGGTCGACGAGAAACTGGCGGACACTCTCAAGGAAAACGGTGAGGACTGTTTGTTTGTTTGTTTGTTTGTTTGTTTGTTTGTTTGTCTATTTGCTTGTATGTTTTTATACTTTTTAAGTCGAACATGTTCTAACGTCCAAATGTCAAAGACGAGAACAGGTACAAACTACTACTTTTTACCCCCCCCCCCTTTTTGCGCTTAATGAAAGTCCGTAATTAACAAACCAAAGAAAAGACGGCAAAAATTAATACTGTACAATCCATGTTTTAGATGACTGAAAAAACAAAACAAAACGTTTCCCAAAACATGCACAGTTTTAAGCCATTGTCATTTGTCTACCTGAGATCACTTCGACCTCTATGCCGCCCCCCCCCCACTCACCCTAATAAACACAAACAATTAGTTATGGTCACCAACACCCCCCCCCCCCCACACACACTCACACGTTTTTGCGAACCACCAGACTTACTTTTTTTCTTTTGTCTTTTCCTTTGACCACAGAGATTCTGATAGAGGCTGTATACTTTACCGTGGACCCTTACATCAGGTAAACTTGTTGTTCATAAACATCTAACAAACTGTTTGTGTTACATCAACTTACCGAGCTCTCAGAACTTATCTCAACATGCCCTTCATCATCATCCGGTGCTTTGCAGACTGGCGTGGGCGATCATGGATCTCCACTTCACTCTGTCTTGCGTTGCAGCAATGGTGTCTGTTGTTCTTGCTGCTCCTAGCCATGTTGCCATCTTGTCCAGTATCTTTTCCATCTGTCTGCCTCTGTCTCTCTTTCCATCAAACTTGCCTGTTGTTATAATATTTATGCCCTTACATGTATTTTTAACAAAAATTAATTATATTATTATTCTTTTTTTTGGTCCCATGCCCAATCCTGTGAAAATGACACCATGTGGCCATTGAGTTTTCATACACGTAAAGTTGTTCTTACCTTACACAACGTAAGGAAATTTGCTCTCTACCCATTGAGGACTTCCACAAAAGACCCCCCCCCCCAAATAAAAAACCCCAACAAAAACATAAAGGAAAGCCCTAACTCTCCCATGCATAAAAGTGCAACCAGTAACATCAGATTGAGTAACATCTCACTCTCATCCTGTCCGTCTGGGCGTATTGATTGTCAACTGAAAATAGGATTATCAAGTTGCAACATGGAAAAGCGGTAATGATTAACACACTTCCTGTGTGTTAATCCACGTGAAAATATAGTTCCAGACACACTGTTTGACCACAATTGTGCTTGTCATTCAACAACACTTGAAGACTATCAAAAAGCATTTGAATAAAGAAGTTATCTAGATAGAGTAGATAGATAACTTCTTATTAATTCAGGTATTTAACCCTATCTGTACGTCATGTTTTACTATCGTATCCAAGCGACGTGGGGAACTCTGTGCCAACACTTTCCAAAGAGGAAATTCACTCGTTAATCCGATCCGTACGATTTGCATAGCAGTCTGTCAAAATGGTTTTTTGAGAAGTACTGAAAGTTTCAAAGAGATCTTCCCACTAGATGTATTCTAAAATGGGAAGAATACAACCCCTGGGGTACAAAATGACCCCAGGCGTACGGATAGGGTTAAACATTCTGTCTTCTTTATTCGTATATGAGGCAGAATCCTGTCTCTGATTTGTGCTTGATAATATGAAATGTACTGCAGCTTTTGCATTTATGACCTGCCGCTGATCGGAAACAATGATACATTTTTATATGTTCGCCACGTCCCTAACTAAGAACAAGAAAAGCGTTTTTTTAAACATCAGACAAACCTGGTCTTAGATATCAGATAATATTTACCTGTACATCGACTTGTGCAAGTTGAATATATTATTATGGTTATTTGCCCACATCACTGACCGTTTCTTTGGCATAATATTATCGATTCTGATATATTTCAATTTAAGTACTGCATCATATTTGTCCATCTCCTCGTTAACATCGGGGCACACTAAACACTGTTGACCAAACTTCTCCTTCAAGTACAAGATCTGGAACAGGACCTCAGAAATCATGGTTGGCCACTCATATCTCGGCTCAAGTGTTCTCAGAAAACCTATCATTGTTCTTAGACTTTTCCAGCCAACCATTTTTGCAAGAACACAACATTTCAAGCTCTCTAAGTATAAAACGTATTTCAAATTTTCTAAGTACATACTATTTCAAGTCTTCTTAGTACATAACATTACAAAACTGAGCCCACATTGAACGTTAAAATAGGAAGAAAATATCTTACCCCTCTTGTTGCTTGTTGTCCTCAGAGTCTTGGATCTCCCTACTGGTTTGCCAGCGGAGCAGGTTGCAAGGTATTTTTATGTTTTGTGTCTATCTATCCATCCATCCATCCATCCATCCATCCATCCATCCATCCATCCATCCATCCATCTATCGATCTATCAAATTAACTATCCATCCATCCATTCATCCATCCATCCATCCATTAATCCATCCACCCACTCATCAATTCACCAACTCATTCATACTTTTGCGAACTCCGCAACCTACCCATTCATCCATCAACCCATCCCTGAGTTCAACCATGCAGCCACCCAACTATTCCTTTCATCTGTCCATCCAATCATCCTGAAAAAAGAAGTATTCATATGTGACATTCTGTCGGTTCATTCATGCATCATTTCATCCGCCCACACCTACTGACCTGGCTTTCCATTCACCTACCTCTAACGACGTTATCAGTCTCTTTGTCTATATTTGCCTCTGTCTCACTCATCTCTCTCTCTCTCTCTCTCTCTCTCTCTCTCTCTCTCTCTCTCTCTCTCTCTCTCTCTCTCTCTAATTTCGATTTTCACTTCAAGCTGTCTTCCTCTCTCATTACCGTTCGTCTCTCTCTTCACCTCTCATTCTCCCTTTCTCTCACTCTCATCTCTCCCCTCTTTCACTGTTCCAGAATCTTGGACTCCAAAGCCAAAGATTTCCCCAAAGGCTCCCTCGTCCTCGCCCACGTTGGCTGGAGAAGCCACGCCATCATCAACGTCACAGAACCCATGAACCTGGGATTCAAGGCCACAATCGTGCCAGAAATAGCTGGACTCTCTCCCTCCCTGTGGCTCGGAATCATCGGCATGCCCGGGTAAGTGCTCACGTGTCCAGATAGAACACCTCAACAGTTTCTCCAAACCTCAAGCTATCTCATATTAACAATTATTATTAGTTTCCCAAAATACCTGGAAACCTAGAAGTTTCATCTCTAGCTCAGAGGTTGACGTGCAGTCACCCGCAATTGCTTTAAGTTGCTAGTTGGGATCATACACTCCATCATACTTAGGCCAGTCATATTACACGATTTCCATGATCTGTGACTCCATTTCCCTGACATGTGACGTCATCCCTACATCCCATGACATAATTCACTCACACACTGACGAGAACTGTGCCAATTCGATGCAACTATTCACCATTTACGATTTTTTCGCTTTTCACAGCAATACAAAACGTTATAGACCCATTCGAATACCATGGAATTTTAATTAAGGACAATGAATTTTCGTCTAATTTTTCTCAAACCGTGGGAAAAATTAGAACATGTTAATTAAATCCAAAACCAGAGAGGTAAATACAGAAATGCTTTGTACTCGATGATTCCGAGACAAAGTGTTAAGTGGAGCTAACAAGTTGGACGCTATTGTCCCCTCTTCATCCTTCTCCTACTCGAAATTCGAAGCCATGAGAATGATTATGCGACGTCATCGTATCGCACCTCATGCGTGCCCCTGCGCGCTTATTGAATAAAAGGATCGTATATAACAAGATAGTTCACTCCTCTCTTTTTGGCCAATTAAAAAAGTGTCCTCAAAATTTGGTGGTGCCTTCTTCGAAAAAGCGCGGACTTTGCGCGCAGAGTTACTCTACTTGTATGAAAAACAATAGAAGTCAAACTAACAAACTGTGCCATTCCTATTCTTCTTCTGGAGAAACGAAAGAGAGCTCCAAAAACAAAGACTGCAGCGCCATCTAAAGCAAAACGCGGACTTCGTGGACACTTTTCTGGCTGAGTGAACAATCTTGTCATGTACGATCTTTGATGTAACTGATGGACTAATAATAAAAGATAAGAAATCGCAAACGGTATTCAAATAGCATGAATAATGACTTCACGCTTCGAAGCATCGATTAACATTTGTATCTTCAAAATCGCATTGCATTAAATTATCCCTAGCCTGACCGGAAATACATCTATCTCCCACAGAGTGACCGCCTACATGGCCTTCCTGGAACGCTGCGACCCCAAGCCTGGTGAGGTAGTTGTGGTCAGCGCAGCGTCTGGTGCCGTGGGCAGTGTGGTGGGACAGCTGGCCCGTGATAAGGTAGGTTGAGAGTTCGGTTCCTCGTGTAAATATCTTTCAGATAGCTTTCAAAATGATCTTAACCCAGTTAGTAATGTATTATTGTTTTCAAGAGGCAGAAAAAGCAATGAAAAAGCTGACGTACAGAAAAGTGGGAAGACTTACAGTAATATCAAGAGGCTAGCCCAGGATAGAGAAATTGGAAAGTGTTCGTGGCCTTTACCTTGGTGTAGGGCGAGAAAGGATGATGAAAGCTGTTCAGTCGTTGTCATGTGTGAGAGAAATAACATTATTTTTATGCTCATATTTGCATAATTTTCAGGGATGCACAGTGATTGGCTCGGCCGGCTCCAAGGATAAATGTGATTGGCTGAAGTCTTTGGGTTTCCAACACGTCTTCAACTACAAGGAAACTGCGCCGGAAGAAGCTTTGAAGCAGTATGCTCCAGATGGAGTTGATATCTACTACGACAACGTGAGTACTTGTGTGTGTGTGTGTGTGTGTGTGTGTGTGTGTGTGTGTGTGTGTGTTTTAGCCTTTGTGCACACGCGTGTGTTTGTATTTAATAATCATAATGATAATAAATAATAAAATGATAATAGATAGCATTTGTATAGCGCAAATCCCCGCTCAACAGAAAGCTCTATATGCGCTTCACAATCTGTGGTACTATTACCCCAGCAGACCTGAGAGCATTCTGAAACAAACTCAACTTCCTGGGAAGCGTGCAGAGCAAGCCGCCATTTATAGTCCTAAAAACACTAACATACTGACAAGATCTTTCGCTGACAATGGCCTGGTACCTATTCCCACCTGAGTGAAGTGAGGAAAATTCGTGTAAAGTGACTTTCCCAAGGACGCAACGTCGGGCCCGAGGCTCGAGGCTCGAACCCCCGAACCCGCCTGAGTGTGTAGTGTTGTGTGTGTGTGTGTGTGTGTTTGTGTGTGTGCGTGTGTGTGTGTGTGTGTGTGTGTGTGTGTGTCT